GAGACGCGGCCGTTTAGACCCTTGGTAACCGCGGGCGAAAGGACCGACGCAGAAGTCTACGCTGCTTAGACCTGGTTTAGACCTGGGTCAGTTCTGGTTTAGACCTGGTTTAGAGTCCTCCGAAGTGCTGTATGTTTGCACGTTTTCTCCCCGACAAAATCCACAATGTCGATGAAACATTCTGCACCGACAAAGTCTCTTGCGCTCGCACCCAAAAGGCAGAGGAAGATGTAACCATCGCACAAAAAGTTAGACTTCTGAACACGCTGAAGGAAGGTAGAAGTTACGCGCTGTAGAGTCTTGCACGGGTCGGGTACCTGCAAATAGTTGCTGAAATCAGGGCCACGAGCCCGAGCAGCAGGGTCCATAAAGCGCGATCGGGTGACAGCCGCTCTTACCTCCGTGAGGTGTGGAGCAGAGCCGCTCCTTTCTCCTGCGGTCACCTTCGAGCCCGTCCCTACAGTGAGTCCTGTTTTAGTCCTAGTTCAGTTCTGGTTTAGTCTTGGTTTTGTTCTGGTTTAGTTCTGGTTTAGTCCTGTTTTAGTCCTAGTTCAGTCCTGGTTTAGTCCTCCTCTTCAGTCCTGGAATCAGTCTGAGGTTAGTCCTGTTATAGTCCTGGTTCAGTCCTGGTTCTGCTCTGGTTAAGTCCTGGTTTAGACCTGGTTTAGTCCTGGTTCAGTCCATGTACGGCGCAAAAGTTAAGCATCTTCGCAGTTATTTTGGTGAGAGTAACTTAAAGTAATGCAATAGTAATATAATGCCTTACATTTTTAATGCAGTAATATTGTAATGTAATGAATTACTTTGAAATGACAGTAATAAGTAATAAATAACGCATTACAGTTTCAAAGTAACTTGCCCAACAGTGGTGTGTTCGCAGTGACTCCGTTGTTCAGTCGTGTCTAGAAGTGGCACATTGCGCCCGCTTTTTCGTTCCATTCCTCGTCCCCGCGTAGAGTGTCTGTGGGTGTTTTTTGCCGTGCGGTCGCTGTCTGCTCCGTGTGTGTTTGCGTGCGCTGCGGGTGGTGTGGCTTTGTGGTTTACTGAAGTCGTACAGGGACACCGAAGAGGATTCGTGTATGGGGCACTCTGGATTGTGGTTTTTTGATGGGGTTGGAGGCTTAAGAGCGCGTCTAATAGCCCGGAAAATACGGTAGACGAAGACATTCTGTGTTGGCAACGATTCACGAGATCGAGGATTTAAAGCCGGAACAAAGAGAATGTTTGATGAATTTTTATCAAGGGAAAAGACGTTATTCCCCTTCTTCCTACGGGATTTGGAGCATTACATACGTCACGACCAAACAGCAGCGATTGGTTAAATAAAAACAGTACCCGCCTACTGTCGAGCGAATGAATCCTGCGAGGATGAAACCGGATACTGCGCTTCTGGTTCAGGTGCAAAACAAAACTGTGTTGTTATTATTTGTGAAATGAGGTGCAATACTTCAGATACATGATTTTTGGCGATAAAGTTCACACGAAGTAAAGTCACTATCGATAATCCGCAGTTTCACCTTGATCCGTGCGCTGTGTGGCTGTAAACCGACACACGTGAGGAAATACTTTCTCTTAAATCGGGCAAATTCTCCTGTAGTGTGTGGCGGCCTTTTTACATTTTTAAAAACAACTACAGTAGCCTCAGAAGGACATGTACTAGTATTCAAAATGAGCTTGTATTCAAATGCATTTATATATTTATCTATGTGCATTTTGTCCCCAGTTTTTGTCCTGTGTTGACACCTGCAGAGAGTGTTGAAATTGTCCAAAAAAAATGATCAAAAAAACACAAAATATTATTACATATCAACAAAACGATATAAAAACACCTCCACGATTGGTTGTTTGATTTACAGTGCAGATCTTCACAAACCAATATGGAACCTTTTGACATATATTCATTTCACTCATATTTCCATTATTTACATTTGTACAACGTTTAAATAAAATAGTGCGCAACAAAATAAGGCATTTAAACACACTGTAATAATAATTGTCCAGTGATATGATAAGTGCACTGTACAGTAGTTCTGTTCAAAACATTTAAAGGTCCAATATTACGTAAAATTGTCTCTTGTGAGATTTAAGTCGTGTTAGAATGTTGTTTCCTCCTCAAAAACAGACCTAGAGTTGTGTTTTGTTTCATTCACATAAGTTTGAGTAACACTTTATTATTATTAAATGCTCTGTTCCACCTTGTGATGTCATGGAGTGAAAGTTTTCATGTTAACAGCTCCTTTTAACTTTAGTTCAGTGGAGATTGGCAATTCCAGGGTTGAAAAAAAAAAACATCCAAATGATTCTAATGAAGGTTTAAGGGGTTGAAAACACAGTGGAGCACTTCCTGTATATGAATACCAGCTCGAGTGTCCCCCTGGCTCGAAAGTCCCAGCTCAAGTGTTCCATTCTCTAAGCGGGCACTCCGAGCAGTGTTGGGAAGGTGACTTTTAAAATGTACTCCCCTACAGATTACAGATTACATACACCAAAATGTAGTTTGTAACGTAATCCATTAAATTACTTAAAGTGAGTAATGTAATCTGAATACTTTGGATTACTTGGTTTACTGTAGAGAAGCAAAGACGAGGAAATCTTCATATAAGATGTTTTATCTGATAAAAGAAAATAAAAAGGCGAGTCTTTACTTAACCGTATTAAAAATATTATTGACAGAAGAGGAGGAGACACGGTCTGCATAGCATGGTTTAGTCCTGTTAAATCCTGGTTTAGACCTGGTTTAGTCCTGGTTTAGACCTGGTTTAGTCCTGGTTTAGACCTGGTTTAGTCCTGGTTTAGACCTGGTTTAGTCCTGGTTTAGACCTGGTTTAAGTCCTGGTTTAGACCTGGTTTAGTCCTGGTTTAGTCCTGGTTTAGTCCTGGTTTAGTCCTGGTTTAGTCCTGTTAAATCCTGGTTTAGACCTGGTTTAATCCTGGTTTAGTCCTGTTAAATCCTGTTTTAGACCTGTTTTAGACCTGTTTTAGACCTGGTTTAGTCCTGGTTTAGACCTGGTTTTAGTCCTGGTTTAGACCTGGTTTAGACCTGGTTTAGTCCTGGTTTAATCCTGGTTTAGTCCTGGTTTAGTCCTGGTTTAGTCCTGGTTTAATCCTGGTTTATCCTGGTTTAGACCTGGTTTAATCCCTGTTTAGACCTGGTTTAGTCCTGGTTTAGACCTGGTTTAGTCCTGTTAAATCCTGGTTTAGACTTGGTTTAGACCTGGTTTAATCCTGGTTTAGTCCTGTTAAATCCTGTTTTAGACCTGGTTTAGACCTGGTTTAATCCTGGTTTAGTCCTGTTTTAGACCTGGTTTAGACCTGGTTAAATCCTGTTTTAGATCTGGCTTAGAACTGGTTTAGACCTGGTTTAGACCTAGTTTAGTCCTGGTTTAGACCTGGTTTAGTACTGTTAAATCCTGTTTTAGATCTGGTTTAGTCCTGGTGTAGTCCTGGTTTAGACCTGGTTTAGTTCTGGTTTATTTCTGGTTTAGTCCTGTTAAATCCTGTTTTAGACCTGGTTTAGTATCTGACAATGAGTGGAATTACAGAGGGGAAAAAAAACAAAACAAAAAGGGATATAGCCCCAAATGTAAAAAAAGGAAAATACAGCAGTGTAATCCATTTATTTCAACAAAGTAACTGTAATCCAATTACCACTCACTGAAACAGTAACTGTAACTGAATACAGTTACTCATAATTTGTACTCTGATTACGTAACTCCAGTACATGTAATCTGTTACTTCCCAACACTGGCTCCGGGCGCCCCCTTCTCTTGAGCGGCACACGGGGAACTGCTGAAGACCTTCTTATCGGCCTTTAGTATCTGTTTTATTGAGTTAGAAAATCAGCTTCTATATCATGATAAAAATGAAATGTAAATGTTGCGAGACCAAATGTCAGGCCTTGTTTATGTCACTTTATCGATCTTCCTGAAGCTGCACACTTTTTTCAGTTTGTAATATCAATATAATCCTCAATTGCTCCCAGAAGTTGAGTATGAAAACGTATTTTAAATCATTTTTTCTTGTTACCCATGTCCTACAGCATCTGTAACTTTTGATTTGGGAAGAAATATTAATTATTTCTTTACCTGCTGCCATGAAATTAATTTGTAAGCAGCGCAACACAAGACACTTAAAAAGCCACTGAATTTGTTCAAAAATCATTCAGAATCACTTTGAGGAAGATCTTAACTATGTATTTCATTAAAATTTCTAAGATAAAATCCTGAACACTTTTATTGAGAACACTCGAGTAATTTGACAAACTGTATTTACTCTATTTTTCATCATTTCTGCCTGTTTTGTTTGTATGTATGAACAAATGTGTTGAGATATATTTTAACTTGCATGTGTAATTAATACAATATATATATAATGGAAAAAAAAAGGTTTTAATTTATATGTATATAGATTAACTAACTTTCATAAAGGGTGCAATTCGGGGGACTTTCCAGCTTGGTGACCTTGTAGCCAGGAGGATTTTCCAGCTGATTCGTACCACGTGACATCACAAGGTGGAACAAAGTTTTCTGTCTGAGAGAAAAACTCAACATAAATCTTCAGGGTTTGTGAGTTAAACATGTTAGAATGAAACAAAACACAACTCCAGTCTGTTTGTGACGAGGAAACAACATTATAACACAGATCAGAATACAGGCTCTTAAAAAAAAACATGAATTGCTTTACAAAACAACACAAAATGTAAAAAGTGCAGTGTTTAACGTTTCTGGTGGAGAAATGCTTGTCTCCATGGAGATGTTACTGGTCCGCATCTCCAGAGAGACGAGCACCATCTGCAGTTACGGGATAAGTTTACAGTGGAACATTTCAGGCTGCAGTAACATCTCCATGGAGTCGAGCAGCTGGTGTGTGTGTGTGTGTGTGTCTGTGTCCTCCATCAGAAAAGTTACACAGTGCACCTTTAAAAACAGGATAATACCACATCCTGAACGGCACATATTTCTGTAGGTGATTCTCCTGTCAGCTCCTGTCTGCTCCTGTCAGCTCCTGTCAGTGTGGGCCTCACTGGATCCCTCTGAACAGACACATGGAGAACACCATCGCAAAAAGCTGTGGAAGACAGACAGAAACATTTAAACTTTATACCAGTGCATGGAGTCCAGGAGCCAGAACTCAGCGCTGTTTTGTGGACTGGGGTCAATATTTGCTGAGGACAATTTCCAAGGATAATGTGGATGAGATGCTGCAGTTTAATGTCCATGGCGAGGAGAAAATTCAGTTTGTCGACTGGACAAAAGTGAGTTTGGTTGAAGACGTTCCGCAGCTCATCTAAGCTGCTTCTTCAGTTCTGGTCAGACGCTGGTGGACACTTCCTTATATCAGTCTGCAGGGAGGAGCTAACTACACTGAAACTACTCTGAAACTAACACACCTACTTGTTTACAGAATTAGGTTTGAGGATGGAGTTGTAAATAGGAGATAGATGGTGTCTGAGGATTCTCTTTCTTAACAAAAAATGGCTTCTTTCACTCCCCTCTCAAAACAATTCTTAAAATCTGTACCTCGCTAGTTAATTTGGTTGAATGTCTTCAACCAAACTGACTTTTCTCCTCGCCGTGGATTCTACCTGGACGACTGAGGGATTCTTCACACGTTTAATGTGCAACTTTACACGAGGTGAAGTAATAAAGTCTTGTCAGTACTTTCGCTGTTTCCTGAGTTTGTATGTTGGGTTTTTGTGTTCTCTGCCCCTGACGCTCTGTTTTATTGGTTTTTATCGTAGTGTTGCTGATGTTTGGTGCACACAAAGACACAAAGTCGGGTCACGCCTCCCTGAACTCGGGAAGAAGCAAATTGCAGCCAAAATCTGGAAAATTCTCCTGTAGCGTGCGGCGGCCTTTACTTTGCTCCCTTTGTCTTACTGTTATTTTTCTTTAATGATGAGTTTGCATTTTGTTTTGTTTCAACTCCACGTGGATCAAGCCTCAGATTTAGTTGAAGAGTGAATAAAATGTTTCTGTTATAGTCACATATAGAAGGGCAAAAGGCGAAAGTGAGGACCGCGGCGTGACAGTCATAGTTTTGCGAGGATTCATGTGGTTCAGAGGGAGGTCGTCAAGGCGGGGGGGCACGTCAATCACGGACAACTTCCCTCATGAATATTAAAGAGCTGAGTCTCCTTGTACCTGCACATGTAGTGGCGGAATATAAACACAAACAAACACACAGACACAAACGCACAGCTCTGCACCGAAACAGTTCGGCACGAATACATGAACCGTTACAATCCTAATAAATCGATAAGTGAGCAGGACACAAAAAGGAAGCAGGAGCAACGGGGGATTTTCTACAAATGTAGTAAAAGCATAAATATATACGCATAAATATATTATGATAGAACATATATAACACAGAACAAAGTCTGCAGTTTTCTCCCAACACCTCAAAGAGAATGAGAGAAAGAGAGAGAATGGAAAAACAGAAAAAAGAATCAACGAGAGAGAGGACTGTACATAAATTTAAATGTGTACCTCTATAGTGAGCACAATAATGGCCAAAGCTCCAGCAGAGTAAATGTAGGTCTCAAAATAATCCACGAGTGACGAGTAACAGCCCTGGAAACGATAAAAGAAGCAGCAGAGAAGACACATTTTCAGAATCATAAAGTAGTGTTTCATTAAGCTTTAAAGTTAAGTTTTCTGGTGGAGAGTCTGTCAAATGGGAGGAAGCGGAAATGTCGTTCGTAGCTGTTGTGGCGTAAGAGAAAAGTTGCGGCAAAGCAGCGAGGCGGCCGAAATCGTCCCATCAAGGGCTACGTTTATACGATGACGGGTTGAACATAAGACATAAAAAGCGGCGTCGCGTCTTCACTTTTTATTTCGCGTTTAGATGAGTGTTTTCGGGAGTAAATCTGCGTTCATACGGTGACGCAAAAGTGTGTGGAATTTGATTGTGTATATTTGTATTTAAAGCAACAAGAGCATCTTTGGACATACGGAAGTTTTCACGTCGCGCATTTTCATCAGCTCCTCCTTCCACACAGTTGTTCCACCATCGACTGGTTCTCGTTCATATCCGTCTGACTCGACTGCGATGACCTGGTGCATCCAGAATTTGACAGAGGTGATTGCAGATCCTTCTCTGTTCACTAATAGTGTCTCTGCAGATTCTCGACGTTTGTTGGGAGCCTCCTGAAAGTTTATTAGAGCTGCCAGAGGAGCTTGAAGGTCCGACACATGGAAATGATACGACATCTTTGTTTTTGTGTACTGTATGTATGCGACGTAAACGTGTTCGCGACCTGAGCCGATCTGACCAGAGTTTTGTGTCTTGGGCAGTGTAAATGGAAACACTACGGCGGAGTGTATTCAACTTTTCCACTCTGGAGGGTGGTTTCAGATTTTTGCGTTTTTAAGCCCCAAAAAGGCCGTCGCCGTCTAAACGAAAGGCACTTCGGATAAAATATTTTGTCGCCTCTTCCAGGGATGTAAAAAGTGTAAATTCTAGTCATACTGGTTAAAATAATTTGAGTACCGTATTTTCCCAGTTTTGTTGTTGAATTGGAATTAATTGCCTGCCCCAAATTGCTGCCTGGTCTCAAATAAATGCCTGGTCTGTTAAGTGATTGAAACAAATAAACGCCTCGACTATTATTTGGTATTTTACAATAATAATGTAATTATGTCAAGGGCTGTTATCAACTAAAGACATGTCCTGCCAGCAGTGTTGGGGAGTAACAGATTACATTTACCGGAGTTACGTAATCAGAGTGCAAATTATGAGTAACTGTATTCAGTTACAGTTACTGTTTCAGTGAGTGGTACTTGGATTACCGTTACTTTGTTGAAATAAATGGATTACACAGCGGTATTTTCCTGTTTTCACATTTTGGAGCTAAACCAGGAGTAAAACCAGGACTAAACCAGGTCTAAACCAGGTCTAAAACCAGGTCTAAAACCATGTCTAAACCAGGACTAAACCAGGACTAAACCAGGACTAAACCAGGACTAAACCAGGACTAAACCAGGACTAAACCAGGACTAAACCAGGAGTAAAACCAGGACTAAACTAGGACTAAAACAGGTCTAAACAATATGACACTAACAGACGGGTGGACATTCTCATAAATTTCGCATTTCTCATATAAAAATCATTTCTCTATCAATAATATTTTTTATTTGGTCAAGTAAAGTCTGGGCTTTTTATTTTCTTTTATCAGACAAAACATCTTATGTTTAGATCCTCGTCTTTGCTTCTCTAGAGTAAAACAAAAGTCTTTTCACGGAGACTTGGGCTCAACAGACAATTTGAAGAAAACAAACAAGAATTTTCAGGATGTGTTGATACATTCATGTAGTTTTAAAAAGCACGACAATATCAAGTAATCCAAAGTATTCAGATTACATTACTCACTTTAAGTAATTTAATGGATTACGTTACAAACTACATTTTGGTGTATGTAATCTGTAATCTGTAGGGGATTACATTTTAAAAGTCACCTTCCCAACACTGCCTGTCAGTCTATTATTCAGCTATTGTAGTTCCAGCCAAGTCAGTTCTTTCTGGTCAGATTTAATGTAAACAAAGCTCTGATTAAACTCGAGTATCTTCAGACTGAGCAGTGCCTCTAGTTAGCGTCACCCCTCCTTGAATATTGTGGCCATCAGCTGCAAAACGTCCTTTACGACACCACGTACCTTATAGTTCGTGTGATAAGCCGTGGCCCCGCTCACACACAGCTCCAGAGCGCTGACGCCGCCCTCCGCGTGCGCGCCTGTCGTCTCCACCTGCCGCCCGGGCCCCCTGCCGTGCGGCGGTCCCTGTCGCTCGGGCGCTCTGCTCTGTAGCGCCCCCTCTCTGTGACAGCACGCCTCTGGGACGGCGCTGCTGGGGTTGAGGAGTCTGAAGAGGCTGTCGTCAAAGTCCTGGGGTCCGGTCACTCCGCAGCACTCAAACTACACAAAGACATTAAAAAAAACACATTAAAAGTCTTATGTTACACAAAATTGACTCTTGTGAGCTTTAAGTCATGTTATAATGTTGTTACCTAATCAAAAACAGACCTGGAGTTGTGTTTTATTTCATTATAACAGATCAGAAAATAGCGTAACATGGGCCTTTTAAACTTACTGGGATTGTTATTGCTAAAGAAACACCTTAAAAAACTAATTGTTGCATTGCTTTGTTCTGAATTTCTCCTTTATGGGGATCAATAAAGTAGTGATGGCGAGATGAAGCCCCATGAAGCACTAAAGCGTTCCATCCATTTGCTCGACTCTTGAGCCGACGCTTCAAGGTGTTTCACTTGTTCCACTGCGCCATCAAGTGTCCATAAACATGTGTTGTAACGTATGCAGAGTGATAATAGAACAATCAACATGATCATTGTGGTTCTGATGGAAAGATTTATATAGAACAAATGAATGATTAAATATTTGAATGTTTGTGATTTCAGCGTAAAGTGTAAATTTATTATTTATGGGGTCTGTGTTCGTGATATAAAGGTCGGGTTAAAAGAAAAAGTAGGAACAAATTGGAGATCAGGATGTAATGTGACTGTGCTCGTGTTACTACTTTATAGCTGTGCTTATGCGACAATAAGGAAGGCAAATAGGGGCATTTTATTGACCTGAATTATTACTTTTTTAACAAGAAATATATTAGACCAGGTGAAACAGTGTGTTGTCAAATTTGTGTATTTAGTAATATTGTTTATTTCACTAGCTAGGACCACGCCAACAACGACATAGTGCGAAGAAGTTTATTGATAATGTACGAAGCGAGGCAAAGATGGCTGGGTTGAGACTCTGGGTGGAGGCTCCGTCTCAATCTGCAATTGGCCCAGCCAGAACGGGACCCCCCTTGTAGGAGTCTTATGACTGAAAGACAAAATAGAGGATGGGAGGGTGGGGTCGAGTTCACTGAGACAAACTGGGATGATGGGAAAGGCTGCTACACATAGGTTTCTGGGAAATTAGAGGCGTGGTCGAGGTGAGTTGTGGTTCTCTGGTGAGAGGAGAGGGCGGCTGAGGCGTGGTCCTGCTCCTGACTCTCAGTTAATCATATTATTACTACATACTTTATTAGGAGATATCAGCTCAAAATGTTCCCAAACAGGGGAAAATACTCTTGTTCTTGCTGGCTCCATCGCAAAAAAAAAAAGAATCTCAAATAGAATGTACCCAACTCACAATAACCCAAAACCACAAAATCTATTGGGGGAATCCGTTGCGTTTCACTGGCCCTTATGTTTCGAATCGCGCCAAATCCGCGAACCACCTCCTGAAAACCAGTCACGTGGTCGGGACGGTTCGCGAGGCTTCGAACGTCACCACATACGTCACCGATACAAACCTCGATACGCACTTAACTAAAGTCTTCCTCGATTACTCAGCACACGCTTCAAAGCCTCGACACGGACAACACATCGCTACAATAAAGTGTATATTTATTTATTTTCGGTTATTTACCTATATCTGTCTGTTACTGTGAGCGAGGTTGCCTTTCCACAGATTAAACCTGTAACTTGGCCTGGCGATGTTTAATGCTTATGTCCAAAAAATAGATTAGTTTGCCATACTGAGAAATATTATATGGGTCACCGCTAAGAAACAGTAACATTTCCATCTTACTAAAGTAAAATGCTTAAAACTTAATTCATTCTTTTATTTTACAGAGAAAGTAGTTAAGTTGTAAAATTGTGGATAAAAGCCCCACTTGTGTACAGTCTGTGTGTATGATTTTGTCTCACAGAGGACATGACGGCGTTCCAGGTGGAGGTGAAGACGTCAGACTTGTTGTGTCCCTGATAGTGACGCTTCAGCTCCCGAGTGAAGAACTCCCGGGTCATCTGCAGCACAGGAGACAGAGACACCGGGTCAAATGCAATAATAATCTACAGCACAGCACAAAGTCAAAGGGTTAAAATATTCTGCCGATAGCTTTTGTCACCTCTTTAAGATGACTATGATTCTCTTGGCTCTTGTCATCTCTGATTTCTTGTCTCATCCTTCACTTTATTGTGATAAAAACTAGTGCTTTAGTAATTTATCTAATTAATCTCTTTTTTAATCTCACCTAAAAATTGCTGAGAAAAGCCTTCAACTTGAGGTATTTTCATTTGAATTCATTATTACATTATTTTCATACTGTCATTAACATTTTTATGTAAGTATGATTATTATTACTGTTACTAATCTGAATAAATAAACTCAACTTTACGACATATAAACATAAACACTCTAGAGCCACATCAGCTGTTTGACATTATAATGTGTTTAATGCAGCTTTGTGCAAGTCTCACAGAAACGAAACCAAAAACCGCATGGTGAATTTGCATAAACTAAGCGGAGAAAAGGGAAAAAAAAATCGCTCTTGTGCGCTGATGTGGTTCAGCTTCTACTAAAGGACACGACTCAGTGAAATATAGATGTTCTCTCAGTGACAGAGGGATGTTGTTGGTGAAGGTGAGTCTGTTCTGTGTCTGTGTCGCGATGTTTTCAGAGATCAAACATGTGCAGGTTTATCGCAGATGCGGACGACAACGGGAATGAAAACTACAATTCTTTGCGGGAGCGAGCGGAGCAGGACTGCACAGTGCGGGACTGTGTTCCAACAACACATAAAAACAGATTTTATAATAAGGCAACTCGCGCACAGAAACAGTAATATAAAAACATAAAACATAACACACTAAATATGACTGTAATTAATTAATCGCAATTAACGCGATAATTTGACACCCCTAATAAAAACAAACTCACGTGTTCCCTGAAGAGGAAAGCCAAGACTGCAGCCGCCAGCTCCGACAGAAAGATGAAGAGGATCAACATGAAGAACTGTGGGAGAAACACACGGCTTTAATTAAACAATATACAGTACTGGTCAAAAGTTTTAAAAACACCACACTTTTTCAATTTTTTTACTGTTTACTGTTGAGCAAAACTTATTCTTAACTTTTGATTCATGAAAGTGTCGACCTTTGGCAGATATAACAGCTGACAGTGTTGGGAAGGTGACTTTTAAAATGTATTCCCCTACAGATTACAGATTACATACCCCAAAATGTAGTTTGTAACGTAATACATTATATTACTTAAAGTGAGTAACGTAATCTGAATACTTTGGATTACTTGATTTGCTGTAGAGAAGCAAAGACGAGGAAATCGTAACATAAGATGTTTTATCTGCTAAAAGAAAATAAAAAGCCCAGACTTTACTGAACCAAATTAAAAATATTATTGATAGAAGAGGAGGACACACGTCCGCCCAGCATAGTTTAGACCTGTTTAGACCTGTTAAATCCTGTTTTAGTCCTGTTTTAGTCCTGGTTTAGACCTGGTTTAGATCTAGTTTAGACCTGGTTTTAGTCCTGGTTTAGACCTGTTTTAGTCCTGGTTTAGTCCTGGTTTTAGTCCTGGTTTTAGTCCTGGTTTATACCTGGTTTTAGTCCTGGTTTAGACCTAGTTTAGACATGGTTTAGTTTCCGGCAATGAGTGGAATTACCGAAAAAAAGAAGAAAAAAAAAAAAGGGGACATAACCCAAAATGTGAAAACAGGAAAATCCCGCCGTGTAATCCATTTATTTCAACAAAGTAACTGTCACTCTTCTGTCCAGTTTATCCCAAACCAGCTCCATGGGGTTTAAGTCTGGACACTGTGCTGCTGCTGCTGGACACTCCATGTTTTCAAGTTTTACCATCTTGTTGTTTTTTCCTGAGGTAGTTTTGTCAGAGCTTGAACTTGTGTTTTGTATCTTTTATCTTTCTTTTTTTATAAACCTCTGTCTGGTCAGTTCTTACTTTTGCACCATTTCAAGCTCTTCATTGGACTTGCACGACTTGAATTTCACTAAATAACTGGGAAAAATTAAGGTGTTCTAAAACTTTTGACTGAGGATGAAGAGTAAAAGTAATACATTTAAAATAAATCATCATAATATCATAAAACTTTAATTATAACAATGTTTTTGAGAAGTGCAATACATATATTATACATGCACAGTGTTTCTATTATGTTGTTGACCAGCAGATGGCGCACTTGTATCAGAGCAATTCACTAAACTGTATCTACAGCTAAGTAACAGTCAGTCTCTAGAATATAAGGTGCTAAAGATTATTATTCATTCACTCATCGGAGGTGGTTAATTCACAGAGACCAAAGGTGGAAGAAGGTGGAAGAAGTACTCGATTGTGTTACTTAAGTAAAATTACAAATATGGGCGTATCTGTAATTTTTGTGATTTTAGTGATGTAGAGATCAAAATCACTACATCTGTAATAATCAGATGGAGTGATTTTGATACAGATTTGAGCAGATGTTTATTCAATAGAAACAACTTTATCAATATTTTTTCCTAGCTGTTTTTATTTGTGCTTGCTGAAATTACAGATGTGTTCAAAATAAACCAATCACACTTTTCAAGCAGGTCGCAATTTCATTTCTCTCCAGCAACTAGGGCAGGAATCAAAATAAAATAGGCGGTTCACAAAAACCCCGGAAGTGCGAGTTCAGGCACCAGCCAATCAGCGAAGAGACATATATTCTGTTTTGTCAACGATTCCCGAGATCGAGGATTTAAAGCTGGAACAAAGAGAATGTTTGATGAATTTTATTTAGGGGAAAGACGTTATTGTCCTTCTTCCTACAGGATTTGGAAAAAATACTATACCAGTTAGCCCCGTTAGCGGAGCATTACATATGTCACGACCAAACAGCAGCGATTGGTTAAATGACAAAAAGTACCCACCTACTGTCGAGCGAACGACTCCTAATGCTGCGAGGTCAGACAGTTTCAACGATGTGAAACCGGCTGATGAATCAGGCTAACACTGAAGAGAACCGAAAGGACAATTCTGCATAATTTCTGTTTGTCCAAGTAGCGCTCCTGCCCCCCAAAGTTTTGTATAATGATAAATATTTTTACTTTTCAGTCTTGTTCAAAAATGTAGTGGAGCAGAAAATACAAATACTCAGATGTAAAAGTAAAAAGTACCCATTTTAACATGTACTTAAGTACCGTATTTTCTGCACTATAGGGCGCACTTAAAAGCCTTTAATTTCATCAAAAAACGACTGCACGCCTTATAATCCAGACGCCTCATATATGAATTTATTGAGGTGTCTTAGTACGACTTTAGTAAACTACAAAGCCGCTCCACTTGCAGCATTACGGCTCCTGTAGTCAGGAGCATCAGGAGTAATACAGACTGTAATTCCTTTTAATATCAAAATGCACCTGTCAAGAGACACGATTACAACACCCACTTTAAACTCAAGACTGTTATAAAGTGAAAGTGCGAGCTGCGTGGGAGCAGTGGATGAGAGAAGACGAACACACATTCACCAAGACAGGGAGACAGCGCCGGGCGACTTACGCCACGATCTGCCAACGGATCGTGGACGCCCGGACTAAGGATCAGGATCAACTGTGGTCTGAGCTTTCACCAAGACCAGAATCATCACTGAACTGCCAGGGAACAGTAACCACACTGACTCGGATAATGATGAGAGGGATGTGGGCGTGCTGGACGCTGGAATCGCCCAACTGTTTGAACTATTATGAGTTATTGTGAATACAGCAACAGTTTAGCGTCTCAGACAGTATTTTTTTTTACGTGTTACAATTGAACAAAGTTGAGAGTTATTGTGAACATGTTAAATAAAGTTTGACTGACTTATCTAAGGCTACGTTCACACTGCAGCCTGAAGTGACCCAAATCTGATTTTTTGGCCCCATGTGACCTGTATCTGATCTTTTAATGACAGTCTGAACGACACAGATCAGATTTTTTTCAAATGCGACCCAGGACACTTGGATATGTGCTCCTGAAACCGATACATATCTGATCTTTTGACATGCGACTTCAGTCTGAACGGCCAAAGCTCATTCATCCACCTACATGTTATCAACAAGACACAAATGTCACTATTCTGCACTGAAGTCGGCGAAAATTGTTAATGAACTCTGTGTCACTGAAGTGAAGCACATCACCACTCACGGCTACGTCTCCACATCCACACGTTCCTTTCAACGGACGTCGCTGCCGCTGTCCCACAAAACGCGGCCAAAAACCTCGTCCTTCTCCTTCTCAATCTCCTCCTTAAAACAAGTAAGTTGTTCATGTTCTGGCTCCGGTACGAGAGGAACTTTAAAATCTCCAGGTGCTCGATGCTCACGTCCATGTTTGGACAACTTCCGTAAACACAGAGACGCTCGCTGCGGTTGACGTCGTCGTGTCTCCAGTGCACATGTGGGACACTTTCGGGCCGTTTAATGTTCCCACTGGAGTCACATACAAGTCACATTTAATTGGAAATGTGAACGACCTCGCAAAACATCGGATTTCACAACAAAATCGGAATTGAGCGTTAAGCCCTGCTGTCTGAACGTAGCCTTACTGTTGTGTTTCGTTTAATGCGGTTTATATGTGAAAAAAGTTCAATGATGAAAATACGGTATACATTTTAGGTATCTGTATTTTCCTTAAGTACAGCACTTTCGTACTTTTACTTTGACACTGACAGAGACAAAGCTGCATCGAGAGCCTCTCAAACATCGTCCATCACTCCCACACCATCACCATCCCACACCACTTTCACACTGGTACGGCAGGTGAAGTGTCTTGCCCAGGGACATAAAACAGTGTGTGGTACTCAAAGCTCACGACCCTCAAACACTACACATACATCTTTATAAATACACACTTTTCTGTTTTTACTCACAAAGAGCAGCAGACACTTGTTCTCGCGGATGGATCCACAGCAGCCCAGAAACCCGAGCAGGAACAGGAGGCTCCCCAGGGCCAGGAGCAGGTACACCCCCGTGAACAGCAGAGGGTTCGACGCCACCAGCTCCCTGAAGCCCAGAGGGTCAAAGAGCACCCAGCCTCCCACGGCCAGGAGCACGGAGCCTCCCACCTGCAGGGGGAGACAGAGAGAGATTTCTGCAGATAAACGAGAGGCAAGCTAATCAAGACGTACATCAATTAAACTGTTGATCTATTTTTACATCACAGTCCATGTACAATTAGTTTTTTTGAATTTCAATTAAGAACGAAACACAATAAAATAGGAAAACAGTTTGTTATTTCATTATTCCGTTTCAGTGTCAAACAAAAAACAGATTTCGACCTCAATTTCCAATATTTAATTTAAAGTTTATTTCAAATAACAGTCTCAGTGCCTATTTTAATTTTGATATTTTATTCTCTCTGGTTTATTTGCCCCGAAGTTCTGCAGCTGGAAGGACTTACCTGAAAGATCGTTGCAATTTCACGGATAAACATGTCGTCTTCTTTTATATCGACGCTTTTACTTTCACGTCTTAGAAAGTCATTAACTAACTCTAACCCTAGGCCATAAACAGAACCTCTGGGGTAAATAAACCAGAGAGAATAAAATATCAAAATTAAAATAGGAACAACTGTTTTTTTGATTGGTGTTATTTGAAATAAACTTAAATTAAATATTGTAAATAGAGGTTGAAATCTGACACTAAAACGGAAACTGTTTTCCCATTTTATTGCTTTTCGTTCTTAATTGAAATTCAAAAGAACAAATGCCACATGGACCCTTCACAATTGTTTTTAATGTGGTTTTATTTGAATGATTAAATCATTGTCTCAAAACAATTGAACAAATTTAAATTTATGTATTGTCGATTAGCATTATCCTCTATTTATTAGACTAATTCATTAGAGAGAAGTTTGAAGAGAAACAATCCCAAATGTTTTTTACTAAATGCTGTTCATTTGCTTAACATTAATTGACTGTTTAGAAATGTGGATTGTAGAAAATAAAATCACAAACTGAAGTTAAATCACAGATTTTTGTGTGTTTATTACATTGACAGGAGTGATTTAGCTGCTTTGTTGGAACAATATCTGCACATTAGTCATCTTAAAGAGTCATATTTTTGCTATTTTACCAATTTCACAATATTTAAACTGTCAGTATCAGTAAACTTTATATGTACAGAGCTTTAAAATAAAATCTATTTTTCACACACATTTCTGGGAACTTATTTTGATGATAGAAGAAAGTGAAAAGTAAACCAGATGTCCCCATTTTACAAATTAAAATCTGCAAAACAAACTAACACTCATCACTCATGTTTAATCTGATTAGTTTTAAGTAATGTTGTAGTCAAGACTGCACTGATTGAGATCAAGACCAGTCCAAGACCACAGGGTCCTGAGACGAGAACAAGACCAAGACCTTTGAGGGTCGAGACCGAGATGAGACAAGACCGAGACCATGGCCCATTGAGATCAAACTGAGACCATCTTTGTAATGTTTACCATTTATTTGTATTTTACAGTTATTTTGGCACAAATATATCTATGTTTTTTTTTATAAAACTATCTCCATTTTATTACTGGTCGAGTGTCAGACCTCGAGACCGAGACAAGACTGAGACAAGACCGAGTCCAAGCACCTTCAAGCCTGAAACCGCCAAAAAACGGTCTTGAGGACTACGACACAAGTTTTAAGATAAATCATTGTCTACGATTTAAATTAATGACAAAAAAAGAAAAAAAAGAAAAAGTGGTTGGCTGAGTGGTTATTACTTTCATAAACAGTTAATCTCCCACAGAGTCATTTCGGCCCCTGCCCTCCATCTTGAGGACCCCCTTGAAAACGAGATGGTGACACATCTCAAGGGGCTTATCCTCCAAACAAATAAATTCAAATTCCATCTGAAATAATAACACACAACCTTACAGAAGCTGGAGAATGAAGTGAGACTCACAAAAATAAAGAAGTTAAATATGAACATGAGGTACTTCATGCAGCTGAGACAGTCCCCCTCCATCCTGACACCGGGACAGAGCAGCTCTGGACCTGGACACAACAGGGGACAAAGCACAAACCTGGAGATTAACATACAATTCAATGTAGGGATAAATGATTAATCAGAATGTTGACTCTGATCTGTGACTGAAGTTCATGCACGTCTGGTTTCCATGTGACTCTTGTCTCCTCCACCTGTGTTTTGTGTTGGTTCTGGTTTGTGGTTTGAGCTCGGTTGTAGTCGTAGGTGCGTTCACACTTACACATAAACCACATCAAACTCCGACTAAACTGGGACTAATTTTAAAATAAATCCTGGACATATCATCTTGTCAAAATCTGATCCTGTCAGAACTCAGAAGCTCAGCAGGGCCGGGCCTGGTCAGGACTCAGATGGGAGACCGATGGGAAAATAAGGAGCCACAGGGGGGCACCAGTTACAAAAACTGTTGTTGTGTCCTTAGGCAAGACACGTCACCCACATGACCTAGTGTGAGTGGTGTGTGTGTGTGTGTGTGTGTGTGAGTGATGGTGGTGGTTGCAGGGGTCGATGGCGCAGCCTTGCTTCCATCAGTCTGCTAGTGTCCAGAAAAGCACTGCATAAAAGAAATACATTATTATTATTATTGGACTAGACCAGAACTAAACCTAGGACTGGGCTCAAATCACTAACATACCAAAACTGGTTTGGTCCTGTTCTAGTCTAGTTAAGTTTAGTTTAAGAAGAAATACTTGTGTCTGTTCTAATCTATGACACCAGTGGATCATTATGTTGTAATTTAAACATTTTAAATCTCAATATTCACTGAAAAAAAAAATTCCAGTGACTTTTGTGTTAGAAAACTGCAGTGCCCAGTGAGAGCTGACAAAGATCTGTGCAGCTGTCGGTTCCTCCTACGGATCACATTAGTGAGTAGCAGATTTTTTCTTCATTTGTACCAAAATGACTACACGATGCCACCGAATCCTACGTGTATCACAGATGAACAAAATTTGAATTACAATACTGGAGATATAAAATAAGATTCAATGTAAAGATAATTACTTAATCAGAATGTTAACTCTGATTTGTGACTGAAATTCATACAGAGCTGGTTTCCATGTGACTCTGCTTCCTTTCTCCTTTGTTTTGTGTTGGTCCTGGTTTATGTTTTGGGCCCAGTTTGAGTCCTAAGGTTTGTTCACACTTACACATAAGACACATAAAAACTGGCACTAAACCAGGACTAAACCAGAAACTAAACCTGGATGTAACCAAGCCTAAACCAGAACCAAACCAGGTCTAGCACCCGGTCTAAACTGGACTCAAATCAGAACCCGTCGAGGCTGAACACACCCCAACACTGTACTGCAAAAAAGCTTGTCCAAAACGTAAGATATAAACACTTAAATCTATCAGAAAATGACTTAAAAGTAGTGCAATTATCTGTCCATGCAGCAAGATAAATTTACTTGACAAGTTCTCTTAAAATAAACGACCTCTAGATGAGAATGAAGCATCTCAGAACTAGTAAGTCGATAATAAATGTAAAAAACAAGATAAATAACCTGATATAAGTTTTAAAATCTTGGACAGATCAGAGAATTTGCAGTGTTGGTCCTGTTCTAGTCCTGGTCTAGTCCCAGTTTAATCCAAAATTTGTATGTGGTGATTGAGCCAAATATTTAAATGTGGAAACGTATACATATTTCAATTACATTTACTTGTTTCGCCACTTTTATTGATTTAATTTATGAATCAGCTGGGAAATTGTGGGCGTGTCCTTATGCGGCGGTGGGCGGGGCTACTGGGGGCTACTGTGAATTGGACCAACTGTGGCTCCGGCTGCTGTTTACCACTCTGCCACCTGTCACAGCGGAGAAGAAGAAAGAAAGACGAGCGTTTCAGAGCGCAGCCCGGACATCTCATCATCATAAAACAAACAAAACAAGAGAACACGATGTAGTTTTTATTTCAGGAGCTGAGTTCAGGTTGAAATCCAGTGTTGGGAAGGTGACTTTTTAAAATGTCTTCCCCTACAGATTACAGATTACATACCCCAAAATGTAGTTTGTAACGTAATACATTAAATTACTTAAAGTGAGTAACGTAATCTGAATACTTCGGATTACTTGATTTGCTGTAGAGAAGCAAAGACAAGGATATTGTAACTTAAGAAGTTTTGTCTGATAAAAGAAAATAAAAAGCCCAGACTTTACTGAACCAAATTAAAAATATTATTGATAAGAGGAGGAGACACGTCCACACAGCATGGTTTAGTCCTGTTAAATCCTGTTTTAGACATAGTTTAGTCCTGGTTTAGTCTTGGTTTAGACCTGGTTTTAGACCTGGTTTAGACCTGGTTTTAGACCTGGTTTAGACCTGGTTTAGACCTGGTTTAGACCTGGTTTAGTCCTGGTTTTAGACCTGGTTTAGACCTGGTTTAGACCTAGTTTAGACCTGGTTTTAGTCGTGGTTTAATCGTGGTTTAGTCGTGGTTTAGACCTAGTTTAGACCTGGTTTAGTCCTGGTTTAGTCCGGATTTAGTCCTAGTTTAGACCTGGTTTTAGACCTGGTTTTAGACCTGGTTTTAGTTTAGACCTAGTTTAGACCTGGTTTTAGACCTGGTTTAGACCTGGTTTTAGTCCTGGTTTAGTCCTGGTTTAGTCCGGATTTAGTCCTAGTTTAGACCTGGTTTTAGACCTGGTTTAGACCTGGTTTAGTCCTAGTTTAGACCTGGTTTAGTCCTGGTTTAGTCCTGGTTTAGATCTAGTTTAGACCTGGTTTTAGTCCTGGTTTAGACCAGGTTTAGTCCTAGTTTAGACCTAGATTAGACCTAGTTTTAGACCTGGTTTAGACCTGGTTTAGATCTAGTTTAGACCTGGTTTAGACCTGGTTTAGTCCTGGTTTAGACCTGGTTTTAGTTTAGACCTAGTTTAGACCTGGTTTTAGACCTGGTTTAGACCTGGTTTTAGTCCTGGTTTAGTCCTGGTTTAGACCGGGTTTAGTCCTAGTTTAGACCTAGTTTAGACCTGGTTTTAGACCTGGTTTAGACCTTGTTTAGTCCTAGTTTAGACCTGGTTTAGTCCTGGTTTAGTCCTGGTTTAGATCTAGTTTAGACCTGGTTTTAGTCCTGGTTTAGACCAGGTTTAGTCCTAGTTTAGACCTGGTTTAGACCTGGTTTAGTCCTGGTTTAGACCTGGTTTAGTGTCCAGCAATGAGTGGAATTACCAAAAATAAATAAATAAATAAAAATAAAAATGTGAAAACAGGAAAATACCGCTGTGTAATCCATTTATTTCAACAAAGTAACTGTAATCCAATTACCACTCACTGAAACAGTAACTGTAACTGAATACATTTACTCATAATTTGTACTCTGATTACATAACTCTGGTACATGTAATCTGTTACTCCCCAACACTGTTGAAATCACATGGGAAATAATAAAAAAATGAATGAATAAATACGTAAATATTTGTGTAAATTGTAGAAACTAAAGATAAAATATGAAACTGAATCTTTTCTAAGTTCTTTTGATGTCATATTAAATCCTGGGTTTGAGTTATTTGCAACATTTTGAGGTGTTTTTCTAGAGTAGTACAACCCTGTGTGACACTTTTATAGGGTCTTGACCTTCCATCTGTTCCCTCTTGTCTCTTTTAGTGAAGTTAAAATGCAGCTCTCGTGCAGTTTTTTTTTACTGGTGGAGCTTTTAGCCTGATTGAATTTATGTTAAAATGGTTAGAAAACGTCATAAAGAAGATCAAATCATGTATGGATGTGGTGGAAGAAGGTCAGAGGAGCAGAAGAGAAGGTCAGAGGAGCAGAAGAGCAGAGGAGAGTGCGAGAACTTGCAGAGAAAAGGGTCAGAGGAGCAGAGGAGCTAATGAGAGGGTCAGAAGATGCAGAGCACGTAGAGGAGAGGGTCAGAGGAGCTAAGGAGCGGCGGAAAGGGTCAGAGGAGGGGTCAGAAGAATACAGGATGCAGAGGAGAAGGTCAGAAGATGCAGAGGATGCAGAAGAGAGGTTCAGAGGAGCAGGGGAGAGGGTCAAAAGATGCAGAGGAGCTGGGGAGAGGGTCAGAAGGTCAGAAGATGCACAAGAGAGGGTCAGAGGAGCAGAGGAGAAGGTCAGAGAGTCAGAGGAGCAGAGGTGAGCGTCAGAGAATGGAGGGGAAAGAGTCAGAAGGCCAGAAGATGCAGAGGAGAGGGTCAGAAGAGAAGGTCAGAGGGTCAGAGGAACAGAGGACGCAGAGGAGAAGGTCAGAGGGGCAAAGGAGAGGGTCAGAGGAGCAGAGGAGAAGGTCAAAAGATGCATAGAAGAGGGTCAGAAGAATAGAGGATGCAGAAGAGAGGGTCGGAAGATGCAGAGTAGCAAAGAAGAAGGCCCGAAGATGCAGAAGAGCGGTTCAGAGGAGCAGAGGAAAAGGGCAGAAGATGCAGAAGAGCAGAGGAGAGGGTCAGAGAAGGGGTCAGAAGAATAGAGGATGCAGAGGAGAAGGTCAGAAGATGCAGAAGAGCAGAGGAAAGGGTCAGAAGAGCAGAGGGTCAGAGGAGAAGGTCAGAAGATCCAGAGGAGAGGGTCAGAGGAGCAGAGGAGAAGGTCAGACGATGCATAGAGGGGTCAGAGGAGGGGTCAGAAGAATAGAAGATGCAGAAGAGAGGTTCAGAGGAACAGAGGAAAAGGGCAGAAGATGCAGAGGAGCAGAGGAGAGGGTCAGAGGATCAGAGAAGGGGTCAGAAGAATACAGGATGCAGAAGGTCAGAAGATGCAGAGGATGCAGAAGAGAGGTTCAGAGGAGCAGATTAGAGGGTCAGAGCAGCAGAAGAGAGAGTCAGAAGAATAGAGGATGTAGAGGACAGGGTCAGAAAAGCAGAGGAGAAAGTCAGATGGAGCAGAGGAAAAGGTCAAAAGAAGCAGAGCAGTGGGTGAGAGGAACACAGCTGAGGGTCAGATGGAGAAGAGGATGCAGAAGAGAGGGGCAGAGAAGCAAAGGAAAGGGTCAGAAGAGCAGAGGAGAAGGTCAGAAGGCCAGAAGATGTAGAGGAGAGGGTCAGAGGAGAGGTCAGAGAGGAGAAGGGTCAGAGAAGATGTCAGAGGAGCCAAGGAGAGGGTCAGAAGAGGGTCAGAGGAGCAGAGAAGGTCAGAAGATGCAGAGAAGAGGGTAAAAGGAAGCAGATGGAACAGTGGAGAGGGTCAGAGGAGCAGAAGACTCACTTGATGTAAAAATTACACACACACAAAAAAAAAACATAGATTTATTGTTGAAAAGCAGAGGCTCCTGTTGCCATAGAAACGAGTACATTGTTTATTGAAGTCTTTTGTGATTCAAACACTTCCATTACTCACTGCAAAAAAAAAAAAAAAAAAAAACAAAGAGGCTAAGAAGACAGAAAAATGGGTCACGTGTAGGAGTTAGAAGAAAGGCCCGACTCCTGTGCATTATTTCAGCGTTTGGAACATTTCCAGAGGTGGTAACGCGGCCAACGCTTGTGCTTAAAAGGTGCACTGTGTAACTTTTCGGTTTGAGGGCCAGTCCAGCACCTTCTTGTCATCGCTCTGCTTAGAATGTTCCACAGTGTGACATTAAACAGCTCTACTTTACATTTATTCAATTACAGGTGGAAAGGTGGAAAGATTTATACTGAATAAATGAATGATTAATAATTAAATGTTTGCGATATCAACATAAATTGTGAATTTATTAACATGGAGTCTGTGTTCATGATATAATGGTCGTCAATCATTCTCTCATAGCTTACTAATCATTAATAAATGCTCAAATGTGAACATAATATGCATTTGTAAACATGCAAATGGTTAGTTCATGAGTAATTAAGAAGTATTGAGTTACTATTTACAGCACAGGTGAATTAAGTGCAAGTTAAGTGCTAATTCAGGTAGTAATTAAGTAGTTACTACGCGTGAATCATTAATTAATTAAGTCTTTGTTCATGCTTTATTAAGGCTAAATAAGGTGTAGTTATTATAAAGTGTTACCAGAATCTCAAATAGAATGTACCAAACTCACATTAACCCAAAATCAGAAAATGTAAGTGGGAATCTGTTGCGTTTCACTGACCCTTATGTTTCGAAGCGCGCGCCAAATCCACAAACCACTTCCTGAGCCAGTCACGTGGTACCAAGCCTCAAAATGCTCTGTTCCACCTTGTGATGTCATGAAGCGCTAGTTTACATTTCCTTTTACATTTAGTTCAGCAGAGTTTGGCAATTCCAGGTCTGAAATCATCCAGACGATGATTCTCGTGAAGGTGCGTGGAGTTTAAAAACACAGTGGAGCACTTCCTCTTCTACCACATGACATCACAAGGTGGAACACAGTATTTTCAGTTTGAGAGAAGAACTCTAAAGTCTAAATCTGCAGGGTTTGTGGAGTTAAACGTGTGTGAGTGAAACAAAACACAACTCCAGGTTTGTTTAAGACGAGGAAACAACATTATAAAGTAGCGTAATATGGGCCCTTTAAAAGTTTTTTTTTTTTTTTTTATTAATATCGAAGTTTTGAAATTGATATTGAGTATTTTTTTTTGCCTTTTTCTTAGTGTTGAAATCAAGTATGACATTTTCACTAATATCACCGTCTTCAATCTGTAAACAACTCATCAGAGAAGTCTTGTACTATTCTATATATAGTTGTGTGTTTACTCTGCTGTTGTTAATGTGCTGAGTGTGCGTGTGTGTGTGTATGTGTGTGTGCTATAGTGCCCCCTGCCTGCACTACACGCTCGTGTCCAGCCCACGCGCGTCTGTTCCTCTGCTCCTGCGTTTTTACGTCCAAGAATCACAGATGGGTCAGACTGCTCTTCTCCTCAGTCCCCACATCATCATCATCATCAGAACTGTAATATTATCAGTGATCAGTGACAGGACGGACGGAGTTTAAGCTAAATAAACAAGGTTACTTTGGGTTAGGTGATAAAAATGTATAAAATTGTAGTTGGGTCCAGTAAAGCAGTAACGGAGGGAAACAGGGGCAGATTTTTGACATTCAAATGTCTCTTATTCAGAAACTAGAGGGACTATTGAAATAAGTAAAGTATCAGAATGTAGGAAAGAGTTACACTCCAACAGGGTCAAGTTAAACCTGTGATATTCTTTCAAGTTGTTGACAAAAAATTTAAAAACTCATGTCGGTAACGGAGGGAATGAAATATGCAGCACTTTTTGGTCAATAAATACAAACAGTGATAACTCTTGGTTCTCACTTACATATCCTTAACAAACTGGTTTGAATATTTGCTTCATATAGTTTTCTACCATATGGTACAAGATTAGGTTGAAAAACCTCTTACTTTTTGACTCATGAGATTTTTTATTAAGAAAGGTCATGGTAACGGAGGGAAAGTAACGGAGGGAAAATTGTGCAAACAAGTAGAAGGTGCACGATTTTACATAATTTGTCACTTTTTTCTTCTGAATACTTTAATATTACTTCAAAATGAAAGGAATTACTATTTCTATAAAATATGTCAGTCCTTCCAAGCACATTTTTATCATTTTAAATATATATATTTTTTAATCATGAACCTTCATCAACAGTTCAAAGATGGAATAACACAAGATATGATGAAATACATCCATTTATTTACATGATTTGCAGGTCTTTGAAATTTGGGAAATAATTTTTGTTCCATGTTTCATACATGGTCTGTTTAAAACATATGTAACTTTTGAACCAAAAATGGTACAGAAAAAAGGTCAACAGTTTCATAAACTAGAGTACATATGTATCTGTTCAATACATTTTTATATCAGATGCATTAACTTTAATTTATTCTTCTATTCTTTTGCTTGACCGGGCCCTTATTTAGACTTTAGACTTCTTCTCTCAAACCGAAAATACTGTATTCCACCTTGTGATGTCATGGGGTACAAAAGGAAGTGCTCCACTGTGTTTTTAAACTCCATACACCTTCATTAGAATCATCATCTGGATGATTTCAGACCTGGAATTGCCAAACTCTGCTGAACTAAATGTAGAAAGGAGCTGTTAACCTGAAAACTGCAGCTTCATGACATCACAAGGTGGAACAGAGCATTCTGAGCTTTGGAGATGTAAAACTCTAAACTAATAATAAAGAGTTACTCAAACACGTGTGAATGAAAAACATCACGAGAGTCAAAAAAAAAAAAAAAACTGAAACTCTTTGTAACATTAGAATGTAATTTTCAACACAAAATAGACCAAAACCATTCTACCTTTGTCCTCTTTATGGGATTTCTTCAGTATCGATACTTCAAATGAGTATTTAAAACCTACAATAGTATTAATTAGGGATGTAACCAATATCCAAATCTCTCTGTACAATATTATCACGATATACATCTCATTTCAGTTACTGTTACATCCGTATAATTAATATTTTAGTTAATAAAGAATTACCTAAATGAAAACAGATATTGAAGCTAAGCCTTTTTATTACAGTCTGAGTCAGAGCGCACAGACACGGGGGACACAGTTTATAGAGTTTTTATGTAGCTGCAGACATATCTTTTTAAATAAAATATAGTTCTAGTTGCAGTAAAATTATATTACCTGTAAATGTGTGTAGCTGAGAGACTCTTCAGAAACAGGCTGCAGATCTGTTCACATGAGCTGCACAAAGAAAATGAACAAATGTAGTATTTAGTTCAGCACATATTTGAAATATAATATCAAAACAAAGGATTTACTCTGTGGAGTGACACACACACGGTAATGTGAAGGTCATCTGGTTAATTTATAATCCTGTTGAACCAATATTATTCATATTCATAATCATTCAATTTTATTCAATATTATACAATTCTAGCTTCTGTTTCAAGGATGTCAAATTTTTAGATCAGACAGTTTAAAATCATCAGGGCTCGGGGCCAAATGCAGCCGTCAGACCAATTTTTCTTGGTCCTCAGGCTTACAAGTGAATTTCGGGAAGTTTTACTCCAACTTTAGCTCTGGGGGCTCATTCTGTCTTTTAAAAATGCACATATTTCAGTTATTCAATGAGCACCAGTCTGCTTCAGCCCCTCTGTTTCAGCCCCTCTGTTTCAGCTCCTCTGTTTCAGCCCCTCTGCTTCAGCCCCTCTGTTTCAACTCCTCTGTTTCAACTCCTCTGTTTCAGCCCTTGTTTCAACTCTCTGTTTCAACCTCTGTTTCAGCCCCTCTGTTTCAACTCCTCTGTTTCAACTCCTCTGTTTCAACTCCTCTGTTTCAACTCCTCTGTTTCAGCCCCTCTGTTTCAGCCCCTCTGTTTCAACTCCTCTGTTTCAACTCCTCTGTTTCAACTCCTCTGTTTCAGCCCCTCTGTTTCAACTCCTCTGTTTCAACCCCTCTGTTTCAGCCCCTCTGTTTCAACTCCTCTGTTTCAACTCCTCTGTTTCAACTCCTCTGTTTCATCTGTTTCAGCCCTCTGTTTCAACCCCTCTGTTTCAACCCTCTGTTTCCCCTCTGTTTCAGCCCCTCTGTTTCAGCCCTCTGTTTCATCCTCTGTTTCAACTCCTCTGCTTCAGCCCTCTGTTTCCCCTCTGTTTCAAACTCCTCTGTTTCAGCCCCTCTGTTTCAGCCCCTCTGTTTTCAACCCTCTGTTTCAGCCTCTGTTTCAACTCCTCTGTTTCAACTCCTCTGTTTCAGCCCTCTGCTTCAGCCCCTCTGTTTCAACTCCTCTGTTTCAGCCCCTCTGTTTCAGCCCCTCTGTTTCAACTCCTCTGTTTTAACTCCTCTGTTTCAACCCCTCTGTTTCAACCCCTCTGTTTCAGCCCCTCTGCTTCAGCCCCACTGTTTCAGCCCCTCTGTTTCAACTCCTCTGTTTTAACTCCTCTGTTTCAACCCCTCTGTTTCAACCCCTCTGTTTCAGCCCCTCTGTTTCAGCCCCACTGTTTTAACTCCTCTGTTTCAACCCCTCTGTTTCAACTCCTCTGTTTCAGCCCCTCTGTTTCAGCCCCTCTGTTTCAACTCCTCTGTTTCAACTCCTGTTTCAGCCCTCTGTTTTCAAGCCCTCTGTTTCAACTCTCTGTTTCAGCCCTCTGTTTCAACTCCTCTGTTTCAACTCCTCTGTTTCAGCCCCTCTGTTTCAACTCCTCTGTTTCAACTCCTCTGTTTCAACTCCTCTGTTTCAGCCCCTCTGTTTCAACCCTCTGTTTCAGCCCCTCTGCTTCAGCCCCTCTGTTTCAGCCCTCTGTTTTAACTCCTCTGTTTCAGCCCCTCTGTTTCAACTCTTCTGTTTCAGCCCCTCTGTTTCAACTCCTCTGTTTCAACTCCTCTGTTTCAGCCCCTCTGTTTCAGCCTCTCTGTTTCAGCTCCTCTGTTTCAGCCCCTCTGTTTTAACTCCTCTGCTTCAGCCCCTCTGTTTTAACTCCTCTGTTTCAACCCCTCTGCTTCAGCCCCTCTGTTTCAACTCCTCTGTTTCAGCCCCTCTGCTTCAGCCCCTCGTTTCAGCCCCTCTGCTTCAGCCCCTCTGCTTCAGCCCCTCTGTTTCAACTCCTCTGTTTCAGCCCCTCTGTTTCAGCCCCTCTGCTTCAGCCCCTCTGTTTCAGCCCCTCTGTTTCAGCCCTCTGCTTTCAGCCCCTCTGTTTCAACTCCTCTGTTTCAGCCCCTCTGTTTCAGCCCCTCTGTTTCAGCCCCTCTGTTTTAACTCCTCTGCTTCAGCCCCTCTGTTTCAACTCCTCTGTTTCAGCCCCTCTGTTTCAACTCCTCTGTTTCAACCCTCTGTTTCAACCCTCTGTTTCACCCCTCTGTTTCAGCCCCTCTCTGTTTCAATCCTCTGTTTCCTCTGTTTCAACTCCTCTGTTTCAGCCCCTCTGTTTCAGCCCCTCTGTTTCAACTCCTCTGTTTCAACTCCTCTGTTTCAGCCCCTCTGTTTCAGCCCCTCTGTTTCAACTCCTCTGTTTCAGCCCCTCTGTTTCAGCCCCTCTGCTTCAGCCCCTCTGTTTCAGCCCCTCTGTTTCAGCCTCCTCTGCTTCAGCCCTCTGTTTTCAACCCTCTGTTTTCAGCCCCTCTGTTTCAGCCCCTCTGTTTCAGCCCTCTGTTTTCAACTCCTCTGCTTTCAGCCCTCTGTTTCAACTCCTCTGTTTCTGTTTCAGCCCCTCTGTTTCAACCTCTGTTTTCAGCCCCTCTGTTTCAACCCCTCTGTTTCAAGCCCCTCTGTTTCAGCCCCTCTGTTTCAGCCCCTCTGTTTCACCCTCTGTTTCACCCTCTGTTTCCCTGTTTCAGCCCTCTGTTTCAGCCCCTCTGTTTCAACTCTCTGTTTCAGCCCCTCTGTTTCAACTCCTCTGTTCAACCCTCTGTTTCAGCCCCTCTGTTTCAGCCCCTCTGTTTCAACTCCTCTGTTTCAAGCCCTCTGTTTCAGCCCTCTGTTTCAGCTCCTCTGTTTCAGCCCCTCTGTTTCACTCCTCTGCTTCAGCCCTCTGTTTTTTCCTCTGTTTCAACCCCTCTGCTTCAGCCCCTCTGTTTCAGCCCCTCTGTTTTAACTCCTCTGCTTCAGCCCCTCTGTTTCAGCCCCTCTGTTTCAGCCCCTCTGTTTCAGCCCCTCTGTTTCAGCAAGTGGTTGGGAGTAAAATAAGAATTGACTAAAAGTATGTCTTCATGTTTGTATTATATTCCGTATGACCCATGTGTACAGAGCTCCTGCAGACCCAGAGACAATCCTCACACGCTCAGGTCTGAGTCACTGCGGCTCTGATTCACTTAATGATTCATTTTCAATGTTTTTGTTTTTCAGATCACGACTCCAAACAAACTCCTGAGACGAAGAGAGAGAAAGAGAGAAAGAAGAGAGAGAGAGAGAGAGAGAGCCAGGTCCAGGTGGAGATCAATGCTGTCCACTTTACAGTCTGTAATTTAAAGTCCGATCGAGTATACTTCAATTTAAAGCCACAGTGTGTCACTTTTTAACAAAAAAATAGACTAAAATAAAAGCATGTGTGTGTGTGTGTGTTTATTGCACTGAAAAATGTACATCCCTACTGTGAGGAGGCTTGCATTTCCACAAACCTGACTCTTACTTGACCTGACTCTTTCTGCCCGTTTCCATGGCAATATTGTTCTTTGGCTATAATATTCCAGTTTACGGCATAACCTCCATAAAGAGTCTTCCAAAGTACGGTGTCGTGCCACCTCAAAAAAATGTACATGACGAAATAAAAGCGTGCACGACTTGGTCAAAAAGTTTAAAACATAAAAAAGGTTTGACTTTGGATAAAAGCCGCAAATGTTAAAAACTTGATTTTAAAACACCATTGATCTGCTTGTCAAATTTAAAATCACTGTCTAAGGCACAGGTGTCAAACATGCGGCCCGGGGGCCAGATCCGGCCCTCCAAGACCTTTAATCTGGCCCTCGGCTGATTTTCTGCTAAAATATTTAAATTATATGTTCTATTAAAATATTGTTAATTTTCTGCGGTGTTTATCACAGCAGCGTCTCCAGCGTCTCTGTACGTGGCCCCTCCCACCAGAGCAGCACAAATGAAGACTTGTTCTCTTTCCAAACGCTCTTAAAGGACGATCGTTTTGACTGTTGACCGTGACACCCTCATCAGAAAAATGTCCAACCTGAGAAAAGTGGAGCCGAGTGCAGGATTTTCCAAGAAAAATTTGACTTATTCCTATTTACATATAAAATTCATGTTAAAACATTGTGTTGAAATTTAATTTTTCTTAAAGTTTCAGGTTGTTCATAATATTATAATATTTTGTAAAAGAAAGAGTTCATCAATTAAAAAAGATTTCTGTAATAGATTTGCGTTTCTCTACACAAATATTTGAACGTATTGTTATTTTTGGGGTTTATATGCCAGGAGTTTTCTGATCCGGACACTTTGGGATGAAAGTAGCTTGGATACGACCCCCGGACCAAAATGAGTTTGACACCCCTGGTCTAAGGTGACGCCGAGGTTTGTGACTGTGAGGCGAACATAATTTTTGAGGGGTTTGAGGTTCTTACATCTGTGTAATCCCTTAATTTCTGTCCTGTGAATGTGAATGATTTGGTATCTACACTTGCTCAAATGAGGATCTAGTATCAATATTAGTTTTAGTATCGATTAGTATCTGATTCTCGATACTAAATATAAAGGTTGAATTTTACTATTACAGTCAAACATGAGCGCAGTGTAAGAGCAGATGTGGGGAGTGAGCTGTTTCTTCTGGAGGAGGAGCAGAGCCTCGGAGTCTGTGAGTCACGATCCTCCCACGACAAAAACGCCAAAGATCTACAACTGTCCTCCTCCAACATGTGGAACAAAACATCACAAACTATCTCCTCTGCTCCTCCTCTGCTCCATCTTCTACTCCTCTGACCCTCTTCTCTTTCCTCTTCCTCCTCTGACCCTCTACTCTACTTCCTCTGCTCCTCGTCTGCTTCATCTCACCCTCTCCTCTCCCTCCTCTGCTCCTTTTCTCTTCTGACTCTCCTCTTTCATCTTCTGCTCTTCTGACCGTCTTCTCTTCCTCCTCTCCTCTTCCTCCTCTGCTTCATCTTCTACTCCTCTGACCTTCTCCTCTGCATCCTCTGACCCTCTTCTTTTCCTCCTCTGCTACATCTCACCCTCTCCTCTTCTTCTGCTCCTTCTCCTCTGCATTTTCTCCTCCTCTGCTCTTCTCCTTCATCTGACTCTCTCC